GCGCTGGGCTCTGCAGGGCTTGTCCAAGAGGCCTCCAGTTGCCTCCCGGGTGCCCCCTGCCAAAGTGGACAAGGGTCTTCGGGTAGATGTGACATTTCTTCTTCCTTGGCAAGATTGTGGCTTGCAAGAGGGGCGCTGGGCTCGGCAGGGCTTGTCCAAGAGGCCTCCAGTTGCCTCCCAAGTGCCCCCTGCCAAGGTGGACGCAGTTCTTTAGGGCAGATGTGACATCTTTGATGAGACCAGGTTAAGACTTGGAGACCTGGGGTTGCCTCGCAGGTGCCCCCTTCCAAGATGGACAAGGGTCTTTTGGTAGATGTGGTATCTTTTTTTAGATCAACTGAATAGCTGGAAAATTGTTCTTTGCAAGAGGGGCTGGTTTCTGCAGGACTGCCTTGCTTGTCCAGGAGACCTGGGGGTGCCTCCCAGGTGCCCCCTTCCAAGATGGACAAGGGTCTTTGGGTAGATGTGATAGCTTTTATTCCTTGGCAAGACTGCTTTTTGCAAGAGGGGCTGGTTTCTGCAGGGCTTGTCCAGGAGGCCTCCAGTTGCCTCCCAGGTGCCCCCTTCTAAGATGGACAAGGTTGGTAGATCCCGCGCAGCATGGCCGGGGGGACCCAGCAGTCCCTTCCACTACGTTCGTCATCAAGATGCCATTCATCTTCTAGGCCTAGCTGAGAGAGCCCCATTTCCTGAGGGTTTACGGCCACCGACCCTCTGCAGAAGTGAGCGAGGCATCACCAACTTGCCAGTGGTTCCTCTCAGCTGGGGGGGACTTTGCTGGCAGGTCCCTCTGGGCAGCTGCTGGCTCTGGTTGCCGTCCTTCGTTGCACAGCTCGAGTGCCAGGCTCTCCAGAGGAGGAACCAAGAGGATCACGGGTGGTAGTAAAACACTCGCACAATTTAAGTTGCCTGGCAGCAGGCCGAGGGTGACCGAGAATATGAGTCCATGGGCTGCTGCATCTATTCTACACACCCATCCCCTGCTCTTCTGATATTTGGGGGTGCAATTCTCCGGCCGATGAAGCCTGTTAGTTGCTCTGATGCTTTTACAGCACTCGGTCAATCCTTTTTGCACACGCAGACTACACTCATCCTGGACACGTACTTCACTGGGAATCACCCAGTTTCCAAATGGTGGTACATCGAGAGCGCACTTTCACCCCAGATTTTTTCTTGTCAAGATGTCAAGGTTGAGTCAACACCAACATTTATAACCCACTTTCCCATTGTGTTCAATGCTTTTATCCAA